TGATTTGTTCAGATAACTTTTTACATATGCTAATTTTATATGGATGATCCAGTATATTATTGCAGATCGGGCCCAGAGGGGACAAGTCTAAGACTTATGGCACTTACGTACTTGACATATATTAATTAAGTATTTTTTCTATGGGCGATCTTGACAACATTTCTTGTTTTTTTTTATCAAAGTAAGAAGTTAATACATCTATTATTCGAATAAGCGAAGCTTAGTGTTTTTTGGCACACATTAATAAATTATAATATTATATTATATATATTTGACTGAAAAATCACGTGCGCCGATCACTTTGGCAAGAAAAAATCAAATCGGAATTAATTACTTATTCTCTACTACGAAGCACCATTATCTGTTTGCGTCCACATTCCGAAAATTAATCTGGATTAAATATATTATTTTATTATAACAAATATGATAAGTAATACTAATAATAGATTTGATCAAAGCGAAACACTTGCTCAAGTATATGAAGTGTTTTTATATAAGAAGAAGGATATAATAGCAATTCAAGAAAAACTCAGTATTAATGGCAATGCAAATAATGCAACAACGCATCATGATATCAGGTTTCTTCCCCATACGCTCTCCATCGACTCCTATGTTTCTCCGAGCCTTGCTTGCAAGACTCTGACGTTCTGCTCTATAATTAGCAAATAAATATGTTTAGTATAATCATTTGACTTTTGTAATAATATTTTATCAATTAACTCTTACGTGCTCAAGCAGACGTAACCATTTGGAAGGTTTCCCAAACTTGCCCGAAGTAATGGAACAATAATATCTGTTATATATGTTCCCTCGCTTTGTTGGTTACGAGACATAGTAGTCGCAAATGCTGGATTACTCCAGATCTCTCCACTGATTAAAATTTATATTACTGATAAGCTACTTCATTAAAAATACGTCTCAAATGAATTATGAAATTACTTACAGCACGCCTAGAATGCGTTCTACTATTTTCAATAACTCCGATTCGTTTTCTTTCCACGATTTATTATGGACAGTATTCCCTATATTTCTTGAAACATTTGTGTTACCGAAATTTTCCACAAACTCACTGCACTTGGATATAATTGAATTAGGAAGGACGCATCTCATATTTTCACGAGGCTCCTAATTGTAAATATAATTAATATAAATTTAAATTTACTTAAGCCTAAATAATAACCATTATTACCATAAATTGACGCTTCTGTTTCACTTTCAATCCTTTCAGTATCTCCGATTTATCACTGATTACCATGCTTGCTTCTGGATCCTTCCACGAGAGCTCCGATTGGTCAATATTGTCCAAATTTGTCCTGAGAGTGCCATAAAGGTCCGCATCACGTTCCAACACAGGGTTCTAAAAACATTAACATTATAATATTTTTTTCAACAAAATTAATTTTATCAGGATATGCTTATAAAAACTTAGTGTACCTCGAGCTTGGATTTCAAGATGTTAAGATTTCGTTCTATTTGCTCTCTTGAATGGTCTTCGGGCAATTCCCTATCCTATATATTAGTTAGCCTCTATTGTGTTTATATTTTGGATCGTATTTATTAGATATTATACCGTATTCAAAGCCTTTATTGAAAGCAACCCCGCGATGCTTTTGTACCCAATCATCATCTACAGAAGATATAAGATATACCGGTATATTAGATTTGTGATCACAAAATCTTTTAAAGATGGGAATTATTTGCACGTGCATAATCAGGATAATCCAATTACTAATTATCATCGTTTCAGTTGAATAGTCATACACAGCTAGGGAGGAGCAGAAACCTTCAACATCTGACGACATTGCTCTTCCAGGCCGGCACTCCCCAACCTTCAGCTATGACATACCAAAACTTGATGAAAATCTACTGTAGTTTCGTCACTTTACGCAAATATAAAAAACAAATTTATTTGTTACTAACCTCTGGTAGAACCTCCAAGATTTTTGTTCTTCGCTCTGTATTGGTTATTTTCGTCAATGCTGAGCTTACCGCACGATCTGCCAAAGTTCTGATGTCTTCATATCTACCCAAATGGTTGCCATTCATTGCCAGATAAACAATGTTTGCACCACAAACTGCATCTAAAGGTCCGTTTAATAAAAGATTTTCAATTTTCGATACCAAGTTCGACATTGTAAATGCTTTAAAAAAAAGGGTTTGAGAATAATTATTAATGCGTAAATTTATATAATCTATAAAATCGCCAATAATAAGTAATTAACGTCAATAAAATAGTTATACTGCCCTTTTAAACCGTTTCCATCGAATGAATAATGCAGAAGAATGTATTTACGCCCAAAAATTAATCGAATTTGGTGCACAAATAAATATGCATGCATATAGTCAGGTGGTTGTATGCGTTAAATTCTAAAAATAATTTTTCGTTACACGGCCCCATTGATGTCGTGTGACATATTAAATTATCTGATCGATTATAGAGTATCAAAATTTGAATTCTTCTATTATAATATACACATCAGAAAATAATCCTCACCTTGTGACTGCGAAGTAAGAAAAATAAAGTCAAATGTTATATGAACTCCCGATTTTTACGAAGAAGTTACGATCAGGGAATTTATCTTTTGGGGAAAATTTTATTTCAGTCGTGCTGGTTCCACCAATGCATTGGAGGTAAGTATACGCTTATTTATTTGAAAACTAGATCGTGGAAGATCAAGATTATGGATTAAACGAGAGAATATCATGATTTTTTATTTTAATATTTGATAGTTATATATTTAATGATATTTAACATAGAAAAATAGAAAAATAGAAATAAACGCGAGCTTGCATGGGAGGAATGCGAAAGCGCATATAATGCACGACTCCAAGGCCATGTGTTTTGGTTTTTTTGCTTGTAAGGGAGGTGCATCAGAAGTGGAAGAGGATGCATTTTGTATATCATCATT